GACTTTTTGATTAATCCTGTAGAAACGCCCTCTGCTGTAGTTGAAGGGAAACTCCACGTCTGTGTGTCCACCTGTCCACCTGTCCACCTGTCCTACTCACAGTCACAGTCAGTCTTTGTCCCACCTTTTCCTTCAACATCACTAAATTAAAAATTACTCTTTTCTGTGCCTGACCACCTGGGGGCAGCCTGTCAGTGCAGTCCGTAGCAGTGATAGGTCACTTCCTGGATCCTGTCAATCAAACTGCTGAAACTCAAAGACGCCACCTTTTGGCTGAGACTGGTCAAAGATCACGTGAGCCTCACCGTATTTCTGTTTTTTATTTATATATATCTATGGTCTCTGACCTCAGGTCATGTGATGTTGTCCTTTTTGTTGATTGGATGTTAAATGTAATGTAAGAATCCATGATGATCAAACCTGGTCCTACATTTGGTCGGTTAGGAGGTGGTCACCCTAGTGTGTGTGTGCGTGTGTCAGTCAGCATGGTGTGATTTCTATAAATACTGGATTCCTCCGCCAGTCGGCTAAAAATAGAACAAGGGACATGATCCACGGGAGACAGAGGGGGAGGAGGGGGAGGTGGAAGGAAGACGAGGAAGAGAGGGATAAGAACAGAGAGGCGGGGGAGGCGTGGGGGTGTTGGCAGACGAACGACGACACAAACGTTTCCCACATTTTCACCTGATAATAATCAGTGAATTTAACCTTAATCAGTGATTTAATCATGAATTTAAATGAATGTGTTTTAATTGGTGCATATTTAGATTTGTCTCCACTTCCTGTCGACAACATCTCCAGCTTCACTCCTCCTCCTCCTCCTCCTCCTCCCCTTCTTTGTGGCCATTATCACTTTTCCACATTTTTAAATTTCCAACTTGACTCAACCTCACCAAACAAATCACCACCGAGTTACAGGGAAGAGTAGGAAATCTCCGCTGATGACGTCATCACAGTGTGCCATCTTTCTTTTTTCTGTTGTTTTTTTGAGTCCTCCATATTCACCTGTGAAGGAACAGTTATATATCAATTCCTTTTACAACCTCTGAGCGGCAGAGTTGAAAATAAAGACGTCAATAAGACAAGACAAGTAATGCTGTAAAACAGGTAAAGGTGTGTTACAACAACACACTTTTACTAGTCAGTTAGACGAGAAATAGAACTGGAAGAGGCATCTCCACCCCCCCACCCCCACCCCC